CAAAAGCGGTTGCGATCCCAGAGCCACTTCGATTTGTAAGTATGCGTCTGCCATGTCGATTATGGCAAAACACGTTCCGCCATTGAGTATGGTAAAGAGGTCGTTTGGCGATGGTAATGGGCAGCAGTTCGGTTGTAGTGCGGCATTGAGGCCCGTAGAGTAGTCGGCACAGATGCGAAGGGATCCATTTGGTTTCTTGACAACAACGATTGGGGCTGCCGAAGCAGAGTAGGACACCGGCACCAGGACACCCATATCTTCCAATCGTTTAAGTTCGGCATCGATCAATGTTAAGGCTGCGTATGGGACCGACCTTTTAGGACGGAATGCCGGTTGAGCTCCTGGAGCAAGCTGTAACACTGGACGGGTGCGTGAACAGCGGCCAAGATCATCTTGGAACACAGAGGCGAACTGTCGGATGAGATCATCGGTTTCGTTATTTGCTACGGCCAGAGATTATACCGCGCTGCAGATGGTTTGGAGAGGTGGATCGGCCATGCAAATCTGTTTTAGCCAATCGCGAACAAGTAGATTGAGGTTTGCCATGGCGATGTAGCAGATCCCATCTCCGTCGCCACTGTTGAATACTGCATCTTGAATACGTCAGGTTCTAACAATGTGATACCAACTCTCCTAGTCGGATGAACGAACGAGACTCAGAATTATTTTCTCCCAAAGCACGGTAACTGAAAATCTCGAAGTCTGTGGGTTCTCGGAAATTAGCCGCGAAAGATTAATTCACGCGAGTCGAACGGGTTCCTAGACCGAACGCAAAGTTTCTACGCACGATTTCCCAACCCAAGACTGAATCAAGAACAAGACAGGCCTTTTGCCACAGGCGCTTTTACTGAAAAAAGCTAAGGCGATCATAGCGTTGTACAGCCGCATTTTTATATCACGAAACGGTGATGAGGGGGGTTTCCCTTGGAAGAGGTTTGCGTAAGCAAACCCTGGAAGCGAGAAACATGGTTTTATGTAAAAATGCTAAGTCCGTAAACTGAGCAGGAATGTTGCAAGTTTGGCGAGAGTTGTCCGGAAAAATAAATGTTGCTTGGATACAACAATGCGTGTTTGGTTGGAAAAGACAGTTTCTGGGTGCAAAGGTTAAACAATGTGAATGTTTCACGAGTTGGAAGGCTGATTGAACGTGTGCGTTTTGTCTGATCTGAGTGCATGTGCACTTGTGTGCATCGGGTTTTCAGCCTTCCGTAATTTAAGCCTGTAATAATTATAACTTTGGGTCCGCATAACGGTATACGTCATCAACACTTGAAAGAAACTGATATTGGAATAGTGAATCAACTGCCATTAGTACGGTTACCAGGTAGAGTGATAAATAAACAAATGGTGCAGTAAAATTATATGCACTTAGATGTTGCCTCCCATATGTAGGATCTGGTTTGCTTAACTGATGGGGGAATTTGCACAGCATGTGAATGGGATGGAATGTTCACTTCAGGCTTTCCGTGTTGCGGAGCGGTCCAATCATCTGATGCCCGAGGTACGTGCGGATTCTCAAAGAATGCTTTTTGCGCAGCCTTAAGCGTTAACAGGTGGCCATGCCACATATTCACCGCTTACAGCCTCCTTGGCACAACAACCGCAGTACTACATCAACTAAGTCCCACTGCCAGTGTCAAATATGCGGCTTTCAAAATCGTGTTCGCACTGTTTTACGAATGCCCAGGACGTAGCATGGCTGTCATCCAAGTCCTCAACCGTTTGTACATATCGCTGTGTACTCTGCTGTGGCCATAAGCTATTTGGTAACGATCTGCATCGTACGTCTCGGGTGCAGCCATTCGGTGTTCCTAAAAGAAACAATTGTCGTTATGTGCCGATTCCTTTTCGATGTAATACTAAGACATTGACGTACCATTACCGTTGGCATTAGCTTTTTCTTAGTCTACCCAGAAGATTGGCCACTTTCAATTCCACTTCTAATAGGCATCTGTACGCTTTCACCTTCAATCTGCATAATACCTGCGTTTTCACAAACGCAGGTAAATTCAATATGGCTGATGAACAACGGGTAATATAGATATGCTCACTCTATGTGAAGCGGAACATAACTTGTGGACATCGTGATGAAGGCTAGCCAATTAATTTTCGGGATTGTTCATTTACCACGGATTTTCCAGGGCGATTTCTCTTCGGATGCATGGTCCAACTTTGCCACACGAGGGACACTCGTGGAGTATCGTATTCCGTTTTAAACTTTACTTTAGTTATCCTTACTGTAAGCGGCTTAGCTCTGGTAATCTGTGATTCACGCCTTATAGCACTATACACGCGTGACGCGCGCGCTCTTTGGTCATTTGGATTGTTCTCTCCATCTCGTAGCGTAGTCACCGTACGCTCGTTTGAACCAAATTTACCAGCCCTACACAGTGATCCATCATACGTGGATTTATATTCCACACTTAAAGTCCTTATCATCAATAACCGTTTTAACTTTTATCTGTGATTAAGCGCAAGCGCATAACGCAATCACATTGAACCGATTACCCTTCTGTGTGACACCATTCGATACAGAATTCTCGAGGCAGTCTGGAAAGCGTAAGCTTATTCCAATCCGGTGTTTCTCAGCGCCGCTGTGAAAGAAACTATGATCTCTCCATCTATGTTCAGTGTTGTGTTTAAATTCATTTACTAGATCCCAAACCAGCTAGAACTAACCTCGATCGATCAACCGACCAACACTGAGACGTGGGTTTACAAGCAAGCACTGGTGACAGCGAGCGCGCCACAACCGCTGACTCACGCTTATCGTTGACGCGGGAAGCTGCACTAACTGATCATCCGACAAACGCATGACCTTAAAACTGCACGCCCTATGCGAACATGTCTCACGTTAAGAGCAAATGTGAATTGTGTTGCAATGGTGAAGAGTGGGCTAGTGTGCAGCAATTGCTTGAAAACCTATCACCTTAAATGCCTTGAGATAGGGCCGGTAAAAACGACAGTCGTTTTGGTTCTTCCAATTATGAAGTGCTATACCAATTTTTAGCTATCTGTCTGTGCTTTTGAATAAGTGTGAAAGACTAACAGAAGCAGTCGAGAAACTGGTGGGCGTCAAGGCTACACCAGTAGGAAAAAACGGACCCGCACTTGTATGTGAAAAAATAACCCAAATTCCCCATTCAGGCCTAGGAAGAGAGACAGGTGTCCCAACCTTGCCCCAACGTCTGTCTCCATCAGTGCTAACTTCTTTCTCTCTCTCTCCCCATGAGTAAAAACACTGCCTGCAGCGTGCCCGCTTCAACTTCTCTACAGTGTGTTACACCTAGTTTGTTCGCCATACAGGAGACCCTAAGCTTCAGTCAATCAGCCATAGTGAGGAACCTGGTAACGTACGTCTCGGTTGCCGCCAAGCACACAACGGAAACAGCGCCGGTAATCATGGTGGCCGGATTAGAGAACACTAAAGTGTCGCAGCACGGATGGCCACCGTCAGTGCCGTTCACAAATTCACCATAAGTACCGGAAAGTAAGGTTCCAAAACCAGTAACCACCAGGCGCAACCATGGTGTCCTAAACCTTGTGTGCACCAATGTCCCCGAAACGAAATCGAATACAATTAAGTGCAGGCTGACAGACCACCGAAATCAATGGAGATTCCTTTGTACGGCGATCGGTGTTCATGCTGATCCCACGACATTAAACCGCATCTCGCGTCATCCAAACACACTGCACTACGGTGAACCCCGGTTACTTCGGGTAACACTAAACTCCGTGAATGAAACAGAGGCTGTTCTGCTGTCTGCGAATCGACTCCGCAATACCTCAACTGGCGTGCGCATACTGCCTGAAATCCCGTGGAAAGAACGTTCAGCGGATCACACTAACAGAGGGAGGCATAGAACAAGTTAAACTAAGAAAACTGATTGCTCACGGTGTCCCTGAGCTTACCGATTCCTTTTCCGACGATGCTCAGTTACATGACCGAAAGAAATGTCACTACATCCGTGCGGCTCTTTTTCTCGATAATCTCTGCGCCACTTCCTTGACAGGGATCCCCGTATCACCGAACTACCAGGGGTGCGGTCCCAGGCTGTTGAAACTGGTGTTCCAATCAGAACTAACGGCACAAACTCTTCTAGAGAATTGGACTAAGTTTCGTAGCAGACTGCCAACAGAAATTCGTCTGAAAGTAGCAGGAACACAACCACCTTCTAATGACAACCCAGTGGGGGCGCAAATCTCAATGAACACACTAACTGTAGGACCTGACTCGGTGACGGTTTTAACAGTAGCCTTGACCCCCGAACGGACACAGCAGAGCACCAGCGACCACCGGGATCCAGGGCATCTGCTGCTTGATTGATCTCCGCAAAATGGGGCACGAATTTCGAATCATACGCTACCATTCCGAGGTACGACCGGAGCTGACATTTAGATTTCGGGGCTGCGAAATTCTTGATTGCTTCACGTTTCTTTGGAAACAGTGGGATCAGGGGTATCCGGTGTTCTACACACTCGCAGAATCCGTACTCATCATTCGCATCCGTGCACAAATGCGCTTACTTCTACAGCGCTTACTTCTATACTGTGCGGTTCGGACATTTGGCAAGAACCGTTACGGCACCTATCTGGTCGCATTTCCCTGTGTTCTTCTCGATCGTTTCGCTGTCAACTATCACAACATTTTTCTCAAGTCAGTCGTCTTATCGAGCTGCTTGAGCATGTCTTTAACGATGATTGTTCCCGTTACCCCCTCGATAACAAATATGGAATGGCTAATGACCGTTTTCCCAATTCTCACTCGCAATCGTTGAACCCCTGTCACCTTCAAGCGGTGTCCTCCGACCGTTTGCGTCGGAATAAGGACTGAGCTAACAGGACACCGTCGAGCTTTTTGTACTTGAACACCCGCCCCATGTCTACTATTGCTTTGACCACGACACCCTCAATTGTTACCTCAAGGGAGGGTACACACCACTGACTCGACATAAACAACGAGAAACAATGATAAAATTTACTCTTTGTATAACGTACAGCATAATGACCAACGGAAGCAGCGGCGCCCATCTCCTCTTCGGACTCATTTCGTTGTGTCTCCGTTCTCGGCGTTTCGCTCAACAGCCGTTCCAACATCCGCGATAGCTGGTCCGCTTTGCGTTCCAGCTCTAATGGCTCGATTCTTTCCGCCGTCACAGGCTCCGAAATCTCTGGGCCACAGTCACAAGCTCTTCTGCCTCGCTGACCCCAACCATGGATGCCAATTTCACCTTGTCCTTTATGGATTTGGGCAAAATTCAAACGAATTGGCCTCAGCAGCCGTTCTCTCGCGTCGCCATCCAACTCCGGAAGCACAATCCCCAAGTGTCTGTTCAGTCTCTGAAAGGACACCACCAAGTCAACTCAAGTCAAGTCAGTACAAGCTTTATGTACCCAAAGGGTGCATTTTCAACATTTACGTTATCAACTGTAAATTTGCTAATGGGTTACTATTAAAAATGTAAAGTTTACAATGGGTAGAAAATTGAGGATTTACTGTCATTGACCGATCGAGCAACCATTCCAAAAAGCTGAACTAAATCTTCGGGGTTTGTATCCACTGAAAACGGAAAAGGTTTCATGAAAATGTTTCTTCAAAATTCGTTTCAATTGACGTAGAATTTTGTGTCCAAAGACTATAGATTGCGGATCGTGCGCGATATCTGGCGTGCATGTTCAAAGTTGGGTGGGGTAAAGAGTCTCAGTGATCTAGGAAGTTGTTTGAACAAAACATCTGTCAGCGTAATCGTGCAATATTGAGATATACAAAGTAGATAATGTAAAATGATGTTCGGCGAAAAAGACAACTGCCGATTTAAAGGCCCCGCGCAGATTTTCTTGCTCCTTCATTTCGCTGAATGAAACTGTTCCAGCACTTGTTGTCGGTCGACCTCCTTTCCGAACTCCGCACACAGTGCCGCCTTCATCTCAGCAAATAAGCAGCCACCGTTGACCTTAGGCGTTAGTAGATAGGTCACCTTTGTTCATCCCATCAGCAGCGTGCCCAAGGCGGTCAGCAAGTTACACGCCGCAATCGCCTCAAACTCCTCCAACCAAGTTTCCACGCTGGCCAGGTCAGCTTCATTCTGATTGTTCACGGCACCAGCGTAGCGAGAACGACGAGGCAATGAAGCACGATCTTTATTGGGGCGATCACAAGCTATATCACCACTCATGCAGACGTACACTATTGAGTCACGTTTCATTCCCACGTCGCACCATATCTCCTGGCTTCCGCTCGCGACACTTCCATGCACTTTGGGGGATACGAGATGAAATATTCTCTGCCCGTCTCACCTCGTATCTCCGCTTCCACCCGTCCCATTCTGACTGGCCGGGAGTCGTTCAGTAGCTCGGGATTTGCTTCAACGTGGATGCATCACTCTGCTTGGAGTTGGTCCCGAAGACTGCAATAATGGCGGTTTTGTCTTATTTATTGCGTTCTCGATGAATACCCTCTCCGTTCTGCCTGGCTCAGGCTCACTACCGGATGCCGCTCGTGCCCCGTTCTCGTCTCGTTCCCTATGGTCAGTGTTGCTCCGTCTGCTCCTCCTCATTGCGCCTGTTCCGCTTTCCGTGCGCCGCCGTTTTAGTGGTCTTTCTGTCCTCCGGGCAATCACTGCCTTCCGCCTCCCTACAATATGTGCTCACATGAAATTTTCTTATACTAGAAGCAAACCCAGTGCGGCAGTTCAAACGATTACAGGATATGCATTTCTCGAATGTTAGATTTCGAGAACGATTACCCATTGGCATCTCACAATTGTGAGTCCCAATTTACTGTGAATTAAACATATTTTCACCGTATCAAGTGAATACTTGGAGGTCGATATTGACAAGTCAGCTCGTATTTTTTGAAGTTTCTGGTGATACTTCGATGGAGTTTTACGGACTCAAATCTTTACATTCTCGCGCAATACAGTGTGCAGTATTCAGATAACTAGCTGTCGTACCAGCTTAAAAGCAGCGGCTATGGAGGATAGAGTACCATATGATTAACGCTGAACCTGTGCCTTCCTTCAAGCCTACACCGTTCGATCAGAAATAATCTAATGGGCCCGTTTGTAAAAATAATGGAACCCTGCCATACGAATGTGGGGCGCAATTTAGGCATTACTTTGCACGCACAGGAACACTATGATGTACTAAATTGTTTTCATTCGTCTCGTGACAAATTGTGGGCCAATGCAAAGTCAAACTTTGCCGTGAAAAATACGTTAAGCCTAAGCTATCAGTTGCGTTGGTCTGACACTACGCTCCCGCCATGCAATCAGTATCATGAACTGATTTCCGCTTAAGTAAATGTGCACGCCCAATTCTGAGGAAAAAACTAGCTGAGTTCTCCGAATCAAAGGTAGTCAACTCAAGTCAAATCAGTTCAAAATAAGCGTTTTGTACATGGATTGATACATTTTCAGCCTTTTAAACTGTCACTTTGAATTGAGAAATACGTGGTATTTAGTAAACAAAAACAGATGAATTGTGTAACGCAAATTGTTTATCACACAAGGAAACAACTGTTCATCATGTTGATGAGTTTCTTTGAGTCCACAAATAATCGTGCAAAATACAGTAGGATAGAATTGTGGAGAGAAGCCGTACGAGAAATCATGTGTACGAATTCACTAGCCTTGTGTAACTATGTGGAGTTTGGCCGTGAGGGTTTTTGGAGTACGAATTTAGTGTCTGAACAGCTGCAACAGAAGAACTCGGGTCTTATACTTAGCGGATAACTGTTGTTCACTTCTCAATTGTGTGAATTACGGTCCACATCTATCAAGGCACAATTCACCATTATGGTAGCCAATGCAAACGTTATAAGTTAACTGACTATTTGCTTAATGCGAGCTGCCAATCATCACAAAACTCAGTAAATGCTATAAGGGTCCCAGAGTAGCCCTTTCTGTGATGCAGTAGCTTGTTTGCTACAAAACTGTCGGATTTTAAAGTTATGAAACGCTTGATGCGACGGCCATGGTTACTGCCATCATCCCCATTCGCTTTTTATTATTAACCATCAAGTGGTAGCTTATGGCTGCAAAGCCGTGGATACCTCACGTGTAGGTGGCAAATTCGCCAATTATCTAAATTAACTAAGAGTACTCAATAAAGTGACCAGTCTAATGAAAAACTACAACTCAGTCACAAGTCTATAGCTAAGTCATGAACTAGTAATCCAAGCCTACTCAATCCTCCTCTGTTTCCGTCAAGTGAGAAAAGAAGCTCCTTCTCTGTGACGATATCCTACGAGATTGTGAAGCACTGGGCTGGGCCTCCTCTTTCACTGAACGAACCGTTAGTGCCTCGCATGACGCGGTCATGTACTTGCTGGCTTCACGACTCAATGACAACTTCTTCATGGTCGTATAGCCATAACTTGTGTTTGTATATTCATTAGTAGTGTACTGATATAACTGAAGCGCCATTTTGTATGATGGCTATCTAAAATAAACATTATGCTCCTAGGTGCCGATTACAATATCCGATACCTGAACGCAGTTGAATTATGATCGGTTACACGGTGCGGTTTTCAGATTGCACGAAACAGTTTTGGCACCTCTTTATTGTGCACTTCGTGCATAACCTGAGCAATTCCAAAACCCGACGCGGTACTAAGCTGCCAGAAGTGTCAATGAAGATGCCCCCCGCCTATAGACCGTACATAAGTCGAAACGAAGATTATAAGGCCACTACCTGCTATCATAAACAGCATGTGCCCTCATCGGTAAACATTATCTACTGTTGTGCTGTTGATTCCAACTACAAGAGTGTACAACAATCCGACTGATAGGTCGCTAAGCTCACAGGTCAACAAGAGTTCACCTGTACACAGTTCACCTGTACAGTAATATTTGCTACTTCAAATACTCTTTTTTCAGTCTAAAGTTAGAATGTCTACAGTCACACTGTCACTGGTAAAATATTAACTAACCTTTAATCTTAGGAGGGAGGCGTTTCTTTAAAAATTTCATGCAGCCATTTCCCTTCAGCAATTTCAAGAGAGCAAGAAAGAACGAAGTTGGCCTGCCTGCACATCGATTGAAGACATTACTCAGCATTTGTACGAAAGACGTTTAATTTTGCTTCGATGGGGATATGTATCGTCACATTGATGGCGTTGCGATGGGTAGCCCTCACGGACCGATTCTAGCTGACATCTTTATGGGTCTTTTGGAGAGTAACTTATTGCGCGATGTCATTGGAGCAACACACTTTTACACGAGGTATATCGAGGATACTTTTGTTGTAGCTGACACCGTCCAGCAAGCGAAAGTCCTTTTGAAAACGTTAAACAAATGCCATCCTAACATCACTATGGAAAGTGAATCAGAGGATCCATTTCATTTTCTTGAAGTTTCTCTTAAAAGGAAAGCAGATGGTTCACTCATAAGGTCGATTTACCGGAAACCCAGCTGGACCGGACAATACGTGCATTTCAACAGTTACTGTCCAATGAACTATAAACGATCCCTAGTTCGAACATGTTTTGTTAGAGCACACCGACTATGCTCTGAAGAGTCAATCGAGGCTGAATTACGATACATCGAATCTAACCTACGCAATGCCGTCTATCCGAATAAATTCATGGCCAAGTATGGGAATGAGGTTGCTAAGAAAGGAACACGAATGGATGTCCCATAAAGGTCTTCATCACGCTACCATACAAAGGGGGACAGAACGACAAAAGATTGTACTACCGATTACGCCAAGCCATAAAAAGGTGCTGCTACGCAGCTGAGCTCGTGTTGTTACATCAAACCAAGAAGCTGTTCCATAAATCCAACTTGTATAGGCCTCACTCTCAGGTAACCGCCTCATGTGTTTACCAATTCACCTGTACTTGCGGTAGTATGTACATTGGCCGAACCGAGAGAAGGATATCAACTAGGATCATGGAACATGTTCCACGGAACCTGGAAAATAGTGGACCAAAACTCTGCCAGCTCAGTCGCTCTGCATCTGCTCGATTGTACCTTGTGCGAAAACTCATGTGACGCATTCAAGGTTATCAGCAGACAAAACTACGCGAGCTTGCTTCGTTTCGCTGAAGCCTCTGCCATCCGACGAATGAAACCAAACCTTTGCAAACAGGTAGACCTTGTGGCCAGTCTGGCCTTGCCCTGGTAAGACGCAGGCAATGACCTTGATTTTCTTAATGTTTTATTGATTTTCTTATTGACTCTTTTTTAATTGCATTTCTTTACTCTTTCCACGAATTGTCTGTAAGCCGCTGAATGAAAAAACACGAAATAATGTGAATTCAGTTTACCCCGTAAAAATGCTGTTCGTTGTTGCTCTCTTAAAGCTTTAATCTTAGATTTGCAATCTATAACTCATTTTCCTTAACAGAATTTACGCCTCCACATTTTATG